CTTTGCGGTCCACAGGAGGACTACTTAATAGTCTAAAGTTACTAGTTTATATAAGGGACTTTATTTCCTTGGACTCAGTTGGGTTATTACAAGGAGAACAATTATGCCAACAGCTTTGGAGCTGGTAATCTCTCAGCAGGCAGCACACCTCTCTTGTCTCAAAGGGTTCCAAAATGCAAGAGCATGAGTAACTTACAGTTTTCTAACAACACAACTTGGTGCTCTTCCTAAATATACCTCACTGTGTTTTACAGAGAATGATAAACATTCTATCCATACTTCCCATAGGTGGGAAAAGAAGTCACTAAAGCTAAATGAGTTGTTCAAGTTCACCTAAAGAGACTAAGATACTAACAAGGAATCCAGTTCTAATGCTCTATGCACAATACACAACCCTCTGCACCTGAAAGAATGATCAAGGCATAAATGAAAACAGAGCCCTCAATCGTGCAGTCAGCAGACTCAAAGCAAGACTAGGCCTTAAAGCATTAAATCCTCTACATGCTGAAGTGTCCTTGAGGCACACTCTTTCGATAATTTATAAAACAAATGCACAGAAGTACGCGGTCATAGTTAAACAGTATCTTGATCTAGTACAGTACAGTCAATGTTACCTTGTAGTGATACAAACAGAAAGCTCGTAATTCTCTTAAGCACTTCTCCTTACTGCTTCTTATTGGACTAACTTATATCCTTGTAAGCTTAACTAATACATTACAAATTGAAGACAGCCAGAAAGACTTGATACACTGTATTACAGTCTTGGTTAGACTGTTGAAGCTTAGAAATTTCTTTTGAGCCACAATTCTGTTAAGTTTCACTGTAGTAACTAAAGCTTCAGTGTAATGACTTACAGATTAACCTCCCTTAACATGACATGGCACAGTAAATAAAGTACTGAGTTATCTCAAGCAGATATAAATTTAACACTATATATACACAAATTGCAAAAACTGCAGACTTAAACTTAGCACTTGAACACTCTTAACAGAAGTCATCCTGATTTTAAAAATAAACATGCAATAGTAGCACAAAACTTACTGAAAAATAAGTAAACTTTTTTTTAATATGGCTCTTTTAACAGGTTTCTGTGTTTGCTACTTTAAATTTAATCATCTGTTATACATTCAATTCAGCTTGAAGCAGATCTATATCACTATTTCACAGAACACTTTGTGTTCCACTTGTGATCTGACCTCCTCATGCTCCCTACTGTCTACGTACATATTCATATGTCTCTAAAACCACAGTATCTGAACCTAATCTCCATGGTAACTGTAAGATTTGTTTACATGGAAAAAGTATATTAGAAATGTACGTAAATTTAACTCTCATTTAAATAAGTGGTTTTTTCCTTCTACAGGGAAAAAAGCTCCCTATACTGCCTCCTATTTATCTTGCTTCCATCTCCTGTATCCCCACCAAGCATTAAACCACATTTGGAAAGCTCCCTATCATACAGCCTCAATGGCCTGTTGTTGTAAATTCACAGTTTACTTTCCATAAGGCAGACATGCAGTATTTTAGATCTTAGCATTGTTAAAGAAAGATCATAGGGAGGGCAATTAAAACATAATTTTTTAAAAATACTATCACAAAGTCACAAAAGTTAAAAACCCCATGCTAAACCTTTAACAGCTATACAGAAAGACTCTGCTGCTCAGCAACTCAGATCAGTCTAGAAATTAAAAGAGTTTCTATCATTTACCATTTCCAGCAGTAAATATAGTAATAGGTACACATTTTATGTAATACTCATTCATAGACAGTAGGCACGAGTCTGATAGTGCAAGAGCCCACATAGAGACTTCTCTTTTTTATTAATAAATACCAAAGAATTTATGTACCACAGGTTTGTAACAATTGTCTTTTACAAGATTTACAGTATTTTGAAATGAGATTTACTGCTGCCCGGCAGCTGTATTACACAGGGGTCATGGTAACATAAATGGCAGTTTGAGCGAGACATATCAGCAAAATGATTAAGAACCCCTAACAAACCCAGCTGCTAAAAACTACACAGCTCTTTGCCACACACAGAAATCCTTCTATTCCACCGATACGATTTATTTTCCTATAAAACTTGCATAATATATTGAACATAAATAGTCTAGAAAGGTCTCAGAGAAGAAAACTGCACCACAGTGAGGTATGTGAATACTACGCAGCACCAAGAGGAAAATTAGAACCTGTTTGAAAATCTTTCCGCACCTTACAACAATCATTTCACTGCAGAGAATCTCTTACAAGCAGCCTCCCTGATAACATCCATAAGATTATCCATTCAACAAAACTCCTATTAACGAACAGTAAGTAAGTAAATCTACCCTCTATTCAAGTAAACACGATTGAAGAGCCAGCATTTTCCCCGCAATGTTACTTTCTCGAGCAGGGTGACTGTCCCCTGCTTCTCCACATGAAGCAAGCTCAGCCCAGGCAGCCATGTCCTTATTCTCCTACAATGTTTCTGTAGGAGAACAACCTGCTCAGGGAACTTACAGTTTCCCCCAGCATAACGCGGTGGAGCAAAGCCTGCCCCACCATCAGCGAAGGAGCCAAGGCACCGAAACACGGCAGTGGGGGCGAAGCAGCCCGCAGTCTGGATCCGCACCAGCACTGAGCCTCGCACCGGGGTCGGGACAGATGGACTGATAGATAGGATAGCACTGCCCCATGCAACCCTCCTTTCTCTCCTCCCAGACACACAAACGAGCGTTTTACCTTCATGATGAGCTCAGGCTGCGGTAAAAGCCTCGATCGTGGCAGAGCGGCCGAGGCTGGACCTGGAATTTAAAACAAAGCGCTAAGGCACCGCACCAGCCGCTCGCACCGGGCGGGGGGAGGGGAGCCAGGGATCGGGGTGGGGGCGCTGAGCTCCTCCCGAAACTCTCCCTTTCCCTCCCCGGATCCCCCCTCCTCCCCGCGGCTAACCCGCTCCCCTCTTTCCTCGGCCACTGTTTTCTCCCGCGGTTCCCGCACGCCCCGGCTTCCCCTACACTCGCTGCCATTGACGCCATTTCTGTCAGAGGAGGAGAAACTTGCCACAACAACAACCCACCCCCGGCTGCCGCGGAGGGGGGGGAGGCGCCCCGGCCGCCTCCCCGGGGCGCTGCGCCCCCTCCCCGGGCACCGAGCGGCGAGAGAGAGCCCGCGGGGGTCCCAGCTCCGAGAACAACCCCCTTCTCGCTTCACCGCGGGGAGAGGGAAGGAGAAGAGAGGGAGGGAGGCTCTTCCTCCATTGTACGAGGAAGAGTGCCCGTGTGCGCGGCGGGGGAGCGGGGTGAGGAGAGCAGCTCCCCCCATCCCCGACACACACACACACACTCGCTTTTGTAGGGGCTGCGGCTCCGGATCGCGGCGGCTCCTCCTCCCTCCGTCTGCCTCCCCCCCCCCCCCAAATAAAGGAAAGCGCTGACTCCGCCGCAGGAGTTTCGGCAGCAACAGCCGCAACTCCCCAGCTCGGCGCAGCGGGTCCGGGCGGGGGGAGGGAGGGAGGGCAAGCAGGCAGGAGGCGGCGAAGGGGAGGAAGAAAAGGAAGAAGAAGAAGAAAAGAAGGGAGCGGGGTCGGGGAGGGAGGAAGGGAGGGGGGCGGGGAGAAAGGGGCCCGACCTGCTCGGCGGGGACACGGAGCGTGTGTGCGAGTGTGGAAGAGGGGGGTCCGTCCCCTCCCGGCCGAGGGGCTGAAGGAGAAGGCGCCAGTCCCTCCCCCCCCGGCCCTCCGCTGGCTGTTTGGGGCAGGATGGGGGAGAAGGAGGATCGGCGAGTCCCGCCGCAGTCTCGCTACGAGGAGAAAAACAAGCGCCCCCCTCCCTCTCTCTCCGCCGCACGCCCGGCCCCGCGCCCCCACGGGGCCTCGCGCCGCCTCCCCGGCCGCCGCCGCCGGGGCACGGGGGCTCCCTCTCTGGCTCGGCGCCCTCACCTTTGTTCCGCGGCGACCGACCGCCCGCTACTCCCCGGCCCGAGGCGGGGGGCACGGAAAGGAACGGGGAGAAGGCTCCTCTCAGCTCCGGGCACCTCCGGCCCCACTCGACGCTCCAGCAGCGGCTCCGCTGGCGGCGGCCCCGCACGGCGCGCAGAGGGGCCGATCCGTCCTACGCGGCCCCGGCGGCGGCGGCGACGGTGACTGCTCGACTCCGTCCCCCTCCCCCTCCGCACGGACTGACTGACTGACGGGCGCACGGCCCGGGCCACGCCCCCCGCCCCGCCTCCCCCATTGGGCCGCGGCCCGCAGAGCCCGCCCTCCACGCGGTCCCATTGGCCGCCGCGTCGGAAATACTGACATCATTCTTCTCCACTTCTATGGAAACTGAGACTCGGCGCCGCGGGGGCTCATGGGGGGCGCAGTTCCCGCCCTCCGCTCACTCTGTGCAGGGTAGGCGGCGTGGCGCGGCGCGGAGGACCATAACTCCCAGGGTGCACCGCGCGCTGGGGAGGTGGAGCCCCGGGCGTATCCTAAGGAGCTGAGGGGGCGGGACCGGCGCGTGCGCAGCGGGGCGCTCGGTGGCGCATTTTACCCCCGGGAGGGGAAGGTGGCGCCCGGTGGGGCGGAAGGAAGGAAGGGGGCGGCGCTCCGGCCCCGGGCTCTGCCGCCACCGCCGCCAGCGCCGCCGCTCCCGGAGCGGAGGCTGTTCGGGAGGAGGCGGCGAGGTGAGGCTGCCTGCCCCGTGAGCCGGCCGTGGCTGGTGGGGGACGCAGGGTGGGGGGTGGAGGGGGGACGCCTGGCTTGGAGGGGCCGGTCCGAGCCTGGCTGCTGGGGGAGCAGGAGCCGTGGCCGCCCTGCCCCGCCCAGGAGGGGCTGGCAGGCTGCCCGGGAAGGGGCCCGGCGAAGGGGGGCCGCCGGTAGAGCTGGGCGGCGCCGGCCGTCGGCGGGGCGGGCGGAGCGGCTGACGGAGAGCTCCGGGGCCGTAGCTGCGCCGGGCGGGCGGCGCTTCCCGGCCCTCCCCGGCGGCCGAGCCCGACAGCGCCGCGCAGAAAATGGGGGCGGACAGGGAGAGCGGGGCGTCCTCGGCTCTCGGTCTCGCCGCTTCTAAAATGGCGCTGGAGAGCCGGGGCTGCCTCCCTTGAGCTTTGGAGGCGGCTGGAGAGGCTGCGTCCGTCATGTTGAACTCCGGAAAAAAAAAAAAAAATTATTTCCTTCGGTCTAGCTGAGGTGTTCTGGGCGGCAGTTTGGCCGCTGCAGGCAGCTTCTGTGAAATGTGAGTTTTAACCGCGTAGCGCAGCGCTCCAGCAGCGGTCACGGGTTCTGCCGACTCACCTTCTGTCCTCGGGTCAGCCCGCAGCCTTCCCTCTGCCTGCGGGGACTTGGGCGGCCTAGCTGTTGTTGTACGGCTTCTGAAGCCTTCGTGCTCGATTTTGCCTGGAAATCTCGTTAAAACGGAAGCACGATCCCAGCAACGCTAAGTTCATGCTCTTCTATCGTTAGTGTTGGAATTGCGGCCATGGAAAGCTGCTTATTTACTTGGCTGCATCTTCTGGGAAAGTGTCTGACGGCCCTTCCACCTGTGGGAAGTTGCCCACCCTCAGGTTGGATGCGACGTGTTGTTCGGTGTCAGCCTAGGAAGGGCCTCTGCTAGTTAGAATGAGAACATGGACTAGTGTCCAGGTTACGTTTGCATTAAGACTTTTGGTAGTCTTTCTGTAACAATACACGTTCACTATATTTCTGTGTATTCCTTCTGAAACAGACCTTCTCACTCCCACCCCCTACCCCCATTTGGGGCTTTTTCCCCCACACTGGTTTCGTGTCTTGGTGCACTAAGTTCTGTGATGGAGCCGATTTAAGAACTTTCTAGATGGTTCCTTTTGCACTGCAGGTCTCTGCTTCTTTGGTGGTTGTCTTTTATTTCCTGTGTAACTGTGCTGTGACTGGAGCCACTGTGATGATGATACTTTTTAAAATACTATCTGTATATTTGACCTGGACTATTTCAGTGATTATGTATCCCTACCTGGGAGGAGGGGGAGAATATTTTGCAGAATTGAATGTGAGGGATAGAGTGAGAAGCTGTTTTGCAAAGTTCCAAAGGGAAGTTTTTTCTTTAATTCTGTAACCTAGAATTAATACTGCCTTCATCCTCTCTAGAAAGCTCCTAGACCCAGATCACACCTTCAGGTATAGCTTTAGAGTAGTTCCAAATTATGAAAGCCCATGTCACCATCTTATTCTAGTGTTGCGTGTGTTTTCAAAGAGGTCATTAGAGAGACAGTTTGTTGCAGTTCAAAAGACAGTTGTGTGGGCTCTCTGTTGTTCTGTTCTGTGTTCTCATGTGGGGATACTGAGAAGTAAGTGGAAGAATAACTTAGTCATGCATATGAATTGAAATGCAGGAAGTCTGTGTACTGGTTTGAAAGGTAAAATAGCCTTAAATGCTTTAATCCTATTAATAAACATACATGTAATTGACTCTTGCACTTTAACCAGCAAAGGGCTTTGTGTTCCCTTTCACTTATTGTTTAACTCTTGGCACTTTTATTGGGAGATGGTAACCGAGATCTCCTCTCTAAACGTCTTCACTGATAAGTCTCTCTGCAACAGTGTAACTTCTGTAACAAATCAGTCAGTCACCTCTGCAGAAAAACCTTAATATCAAGTAATTCCCGATTGTGTCACATGTAATAACTTTGTGCAAAGAGACTGCAAGTCTCATATCATGGTATTTTTGCTTACGGGCCTTTGTAACAAATTTCATGTACGTGTTTCTTTATCAAGTGTCCCTTTCTTCGAATAAGTTTGGGGGAGGTTCTGCTCACAGTTCTTCTCACTGTTTCAGTGGGTGTGTTAGACATGTAGCTGTCTGATGAATACAGACTGTTTTTCCTTGGCAGAGATTACCTAAGACTTCATTTCATGGTAGCATAGCAATGTAGAGAAGTTTAACAATAGTGATTGAAGCTAAGTTACCATCCACTCTTTGTTCATTAGAACTCATTTAAAAAAAAAAAAAAAGTAAAAATCTTTGCATTTGTGGCAGAAGTGCCTGACTAATTTTCTGCTGCCAAGCCATATTTTGGGTGGACTTCTACTAGTTTTGTGAAGAAATAGGCAAATATTTAGGTTGGTGCTGTATAATATTAGTGAGTTTCAAGTTAGTTGGGGATTCTGAATATTATCTTGGTGTCCTACAGACAGGCAAGAGACCTAATTCCCTGAGGGAGGAGGAAGAAGTTTAATATGTACTTCTGAGCATAAACTTTTATCAGAGAGCACTTCCAGTCCTAACATCTCTTCCCAGTCCAGTTGGATAGCTAGGCACTTAATTCTATCACCATCTGTGTGGCTTTTTGACAAATAATAGTCTCAGGGGAGTTGTTAGTACGTCTTTATATCCATCTCTACCACATTCTTTCTGCTTAAAACATCTGGTGGTGGATTCTGATAGTCTTTTTGATTTTGCTTCCTCACTGAAGTCCTTTGAGACTTATCCTTTATATGTAAGGGTACAGTTTGACAGCTGACTCTCAGTGGCAGTGCTGGTTAAAAGCAGTTCCTGTCCCTTCAGTTACACCAACAAGCTGATAGCAAAATAGGGAGTCAAGGATGTCGAATCTGATTTAGTTTACTGCATGGCCTGACCATGGATAAGATGGAAAGGCTGTACTGCTTGTAAGTGGCATCACTGCCTAGTAACTATGCAAAGGTGTCCCAGAAGGTATAGTCTTAAGAGCATTTTGTTGGCAACTATGTTTGCTTAAATAACCTGTCTTGCCCCTGAAGTGCCAATACATTTGATGAACATATGTAGTGAAGCAAGTAGAAGAATTGATCCAAACCTAAGCTTGGGAAAAAGTTATTAATGGAGATCAATTCCCCAAGTATGGACTGCTACAAGTGCTTATGGGTGTGGAGGGTGGGAATGGGAGTAGATAGGAACTGACTGAGCTGTACTGAAAGCTGTCATGAATGTTGAGGAACAGTGCTTTGTCCAGGTAGCTTAAGAGGAAGGAGTGATCATGATGCTGATCTTCTGAGGTTTTGATGAGAAAATATTGCTGGATTATTTTGAGCAAGTGTGGAACATAGTTTCTGTTCACATTAACCATTCCCCTTAGTGTACCTGCATTAAAAATGCATCAGTTCACTTCTAAATATCACTTGAAAATAGTTATTTTCATGGACGCTTGTTGTGATTTAACCCAGCCACAACTAATTTCCGTGCAGCTGTTCACTCACTCCTTACCACCCCGGTGGGATAGGGAGGAAAGTCAGTTTAATAATTTAAATAAAGTAAATTATAATAATGAGAGGAATAAAACCAAGGCAGACAAGTGATGTACAGTACAATTGCTCACCACGCACTGACCAGTGCCCATCCCTGCCCCAGGCAGCCATCAGTGGCTCCTGGCCAAGTGCCCCCAGTTTATATACTTGGCATGACATGGTATGGAATATCCCTTTGGCCAGCTTGGGTCAGCTGTACTGGCCATGCTGCCTGCCAGCTTCTCGTGCACCTGCTGCCTAGCAGAGCATGGGAAACTGAAAAGTCCTTCACTTAGGGTGAGCGCTACTTAGCAGTAGTCAAAACATTAGTGTGTTATCAACAGTGTTCTCATGCCAAGTCCAAAACACAGCGCTGCACCAGCTACTAGGAGGAAAATTGACTGTGTTCTAGCCAAAATCAGGAGAATAATTTACATAACTATTCAGTTGCTCCAGGGGAAAAAACTAAGTCCTTCACAGGATAGTAGCAAAGTAACTGGGAAATGATGCTGAAGTAGTATGAGACTTCGTTACTGCTGCAGTTCCTGTCTTAAAATTACATGAGAAGAATTGTTTTGAGCTGCTGCATCTGCAGTGCAGCAAGGAAGGCTAGAGGTGAAAGGACAGAAAATCTATTACAGAAAACAGTCTAAAAAAAAAATGCAGATAGAGATGACTAAAAGTATGTGAAATGAAATTTAATCAATAGAAAATGGTTGAACTCTGTAGGCTATAGATCCTAAAATATTTATCATAAGAGTCTGTTACTCTGTAGTGTATGGGAAAGTGTGTAAAGCTGTCTGTATGCTTAAACGGTGGTCAGAGAATGGTGTATTTCTGTTCTGGCTTCTAAGACAAGACTGAGGAATTCTATCAGAAGACTGAAGCTAGTGTTCTTTAGTTTGCCTTGGTCTGACGTGTATTTTCTGCTCTTAGGCATCTCCACTTTTGTGTGGGGAAAGCATTTAGGGAGATCTAATCAGATTAGACATATGAGGTTTTGTATGTGTCTTTATATGAGTTTGTATGTGTGGTTTTCTGCAAGTGTCTTTAAAGACTTGAACTGGAGCTTCATTGTTATGAATGGTAATGTTTGAAATACTTTATCAGCTAAGCCCTCTAATACATATAAAGGAGTGATGAAGTCTAGGAGTTGGTTTAAACTATTCATGAATAATTAAAGAAAACTGTATTTAATACATATGCATGTTTCTATTACTGAAGGTTGTATTAACTGAAGGTGTGATGTGCAAAAAGGGAGTATTTTTACCTAATCTGGAAGTCACCTGACTTTTTAATTATATGCATCTGTTGTTTACTTCCCTAATTTTTGATCTAAATAATGTTAATAACAGTTTCTTTAACAGTGAACTACCTCTTACGAAATAAAGAAATGGATGGGATGGATGAAACATCTAAAAGAATCCTAGAGCCATACCAGTATTTACTTCAACTACCAGGCAAGTTTCTTTGTAGTGTGTTGTTTGCAAATATCAAAATTGGTTTTATAGCAACTTTTGTCTAGGGAAATATAAGCCAAGAAGGTTATATGTTCTTGATTTGTGAATTTAAGAGTAATAAAAAGTAATGCTTTCCAGTATTTGTTCCTCCTCCTTAGAACCACCCGTTTGGTGAGATTGGTACAGTATCTCTTGAGTCTGTTTCTAGTGTAAGTAGTATTTCAGTTACTCTGTTCTCCATTCAGAATAATTGACTTGCTACTTTAAAAACTGGTAAGGGCAAGTACTGAAGACTTGATTGTATTCTTAAACTCAGTGTTTTGTTCTTTATCTGCTTGCTGTACTGAACTCAGTGGATTGTGGATTTTGCTTGGAGGCTTTTCTTTAAAGTTTTTTATATGGTTGGAGGTTCTTTGGGGTTTTTTTGTTGGTGGGGCTTTTTTCTGTATTAGCCTGTTTCTCTTGTGTAACTTATTCTCCCTGGTATGCATAGAGCTGGGTTCTTATGGCCAATTTCAGCTGTCCATGGATTGCTTCACTTGTGAGAGGTGCGACCAGTCCTTGTGTAGTATCAGGTTACTAGCAATACATTCACGTGAACTTTTTAGTCTTGAATTGTACTTATGTAGCAGAATACAGGAGGCAGTTTGATAGCAAACAATATTGTATGCCTCTTGGAAGTCTCTTTGACTAAAAAATCAGATTGTTTGCTGTGACTTTTACTTGTACACCTAAAGTGTAATGCAGACCATACAAGCTATCAAAGTGACTAATTTTGTAAAATTACTGGCAGAATAACTTTGTCATTGGGACTATTGCATAATTACCTGGTTGCCTTCTGTCCAGTTTATACTGCATGCTGGTGGTGTTAAGGAAGATACAAAATATGGGTAAATATTAAGGAAAGTAATCCTGATCAAAATTATATCTGACCAGGGTAGAAGACCCTCTGCCTGGACAAGTAGCACTATAAATCACAGGCACTGTGCTAAGTGGCTTTTGCACATCTGCAGCAAGACCTGTATATCAGAAGGGTGAGCCCTGTGGGTCCTAATTCATTATACCTGTGTATAATGAAATTCATTATTAATCTCTGCAAATATCCAGGGTCTTCTTGCTTACATTAGTGATTTCATTTGACTTGGCAGTTAGCACTGAGTTAAAACTAAGAAAAGGAAAGTGTTTGGCAGTTGCATACCTTTTTAATGCCAGAAAGTTCATTTCCCATTTCCTCACATGTGTTCCTTTTGCCTGTGTTGAACTGGGTGGTGGTCTTTCTAGAGAAATATTTTGAGAAAGAGTTTGTGATATTCCAGAGAGCTTTCTCAGACGTGGTCCTGAAGAAATTGACTTTCCTCCAACACCATCTTTAAATGTACTTTTTGTTTGGTTAGATTATCTCATTAACCAAGGTATGTTGTGACACCTTTGCATCTTTAGCTGCTAGTTATTTTTAGAGCTATTGTAGATAAAGAAAAAAGCTCAGCTTATACAAGAGGCACAAAGTGCCCAAAAAAGCTTCTTTAGGCAAAAGTGATTGACTAAAAGCTAACTGAAGAGCTATCACTTTAAATGGTGCATCTAGGATATGCATTTAGCCTTCCCAGTCTGAATCCTGTGGCTAAATTCCTCTACTTGGTGAGTTCAGCCTTAATTACTCTATACTGGTGGTTTATGTAATATTACACTTGCAGGCAGTGCAGGTGTTTTATATCCTGTCCTGATAAAGACTCATAAGTCTGATAGTCCACTTTACCATGGTGACTTCTACTTAATTCAGAGAAGGTGAGAAACAAGACACTTTTCTCTATGCAGTAATGGAGGTGTGACTCAAAAGAGACAACTTCTCTTAAACTAGGCAGATGAAAGTGGTGTACCTGTGGAAAGTTTGTGCTGAGTAACAGTGGAAGCAGTGAGGGTTCACAATCATATAGCTGGTGTTTACTCTTTTTGAAACACTGGCATTGCTTCAAATCAGCTGTGCCAAGTATGAATCAGTAGGACCAAGCTATATGTGTGAACCTTGAAGTTAGTATGAGCACTAAAGCTTGATAAGCAGGGAAAAACTGGGCGCATAGGTGCTGTTTATAAATAGGGTGGAACCCAAATGAAATGCCTGAGCTAATCTAAGAAGCTCTTGCTGAAAGAGACAGTTTCGTTCTATCCTCTGTGCTTTTGGAAGTATTCTGCTGCTTAACTTGTGCTAGTTCTCAGCTTGCTAATCAAATTATTAGGTAGTACCAACCACCTAACCTGTTAAAAACTTGCCTGGTTAATCTCTTGTCTTGTTAGTGAGCTGGCAAAAGGTTGGATATTTCTGTGTTGGATCAGTTTGTTGGATCAGTTTGAGCTCTGAGGGGCTTTTGCAGGAAGCTTGGCTCAGTGTCAAATATGTATGCTTACAGCCCTACAGTCCAGTTGCTTATCTTGTAAGACTAGTTAAACAAACTCTCCAAGCGGTTTAGTAACCTATGAGTAAATGAATTTAGATACATATCAAACTTTGTTTACGTGAAGAGGGATTTTGTAACAGTATTAAAGTTGGGAGGAGGGGAGGGAAGGTGGCTGCTAATGTTGTTTGTGGTGTAAGAACACAAATTTTTGTAAAATCTCACTGTAGGACAGCATTGCCATACTAGTTTTTAGCAATGTTCTACTTATTAATCTAGTATTTAGTCTCATAAAGTGCAGGATTGACTTTCACAAATTCCACTGTGGTTTGTCTCAAAAATGGCCTGATTCATACTCACAATGAATCTTTTATTTCTGCCTGTCTGAGTTAACAGCAGTAGCTGGTTGTGCAGCACTAAGGAGTATATGGAACTTCATTTGCCATAAAACTGATGTGGTCAACAGCTTGCTGTTGAAAGGGGTAAATTCTGATCCCTGTCATGACTGCATCTTCCCTTTCATATCCCTCTAGTTTTAGCTGCAGTCTTTCCTGGGCTTGTTCAGCAAGCTAAACAATCAGGACTGGCTTTTGTTGTTCAGCTTTTTGTGCTGGGTTGTTGAACTTGACCAGCTTGGTGGAGGAGTTAAGCACCACAGGGCATGATCCCTACCACTAGCACAACTGCACTTGGCACATCAGAGGCCTCAGCTTGGGCCAAGTTCCTCATGGAGGCTGCAGCTCTCTAGATTCTGAACTGCAGGAGTGCCTGGGGGCACCCATTGGCCAGAAACAAGTGATATCCCTGCCCCTAAAAGGTATGTAGTGGTAGAAGAAGTGTGTCACCAAGCAAAGGAGCACTGGAAGGGGGTCAGCAGGCTTGCACAGCATCAGAGATAACAAAAATTACAAGACACTACATATTCAAGAGTCTGAAACGTCCAGGTATATTGAAGGAGGGGCAGGAATAGTTTACGCATATCAGGCTGGGAGATGGATACTCCCACAGTGGTGAAGGCTGGGAACTGGGGAATGATGGCTTCTGGCACCAGGAGAAAGATTCCTGTTCCTTGAGGAGATGTGCAATTGCCAAATAGGTTCAGCGCACTGTAAGAAGACACATGGTTGGAAGTTCTGTATAGATCTTTTACAACGTAAATGATTCTATGATTTTATACAACTACGCATCAGAGCAGCACCTAGGGCAGCAGCAAGTGATAGTAGTGGAGACACTGACTCCTGCAGGGGATGGAGGCTTCCACATGTGGTTGTGTATTAGGGAGGTTTGCTGGTTTTGGGTACCTCTGATCTTATGGACAGATTGCCAAGGTGTTTCACCTTTAAAATACTTAACCTTGCAGTTCTTCTGATGGAGCAGTAATGGATATAGCAAGGGGGTGCTTGAAGCTTATCAAGCAAGTCTGTGTGGCTTCTGGAATGAGAACCAAGGGCACAGGAAGCCACATGACTTTTCTCCATGATCCTCAACCCCCTTCCCCTCACTGTCTAGAGGAATAAAGAGATACTGCCTATCAACAACTAGTTAGTTGCACAGCTCATGTTGATAGCAGAGCCTTGCATCTTATGGCCATGAGACTCCCTTTGTAGAGCAAGGACTACCACGAGGAGATAGCATCCACCTACCCATGTCAGGGCACAAGTGTCTCTGCTAACAGACTGAGCAACGTGTGAGAAGGGACTAAACTAGAAATGACAGTAAAAGAAACTGAGTACACAGTCAAGTAAGGAATTAGTGAAATTGTGCACAAAGGGTACAGGCTGATTTGAACAAGAGACACCTTGGAATCTCAGAGCTGAAAGCAGACCATCCCAGCACTCCAACAAGTACAAACAGAACAACATGATAGGGGCAGCTCTGACTTTTTCTGAGGAATCTGCAAGATTGGATGCCTCTCTGAAGTACCTCTACACAAATGCATACGTTATTGGGAATACACAGGAGAGGTTAGAGGTTGGCATTAATGTTATTGGAGTATCTGATTTGTGATAGCTCACACAGCTGAAGCGCTGCAATGGATGGATGTGGACTGCCTAGGAAGACAGCCTAGGATAGCAAGGAGTGGGAGTTGCCTTTTATGTGAAAAAGCAGCTTAATTGCATGGAGTTGTACTTTCAGTCAGATGAGCCTGTTGAGAGCTTATGAGTTAAGATTGGAGGGCAGATCAATAAGGGTGACACTATAGTGAGTCTTTACGATAGACCCCCTGAACAGGAAGAAGCAGATGAGACCTTCAAACAACTGTAAGATGCTTCATATTTACATACCCTGATTCTTATGAGACTTCAGTTACCTCACTGTCTGGTAGAAGAAGCAACACAGCAGGACCCAGGCAATCCGGAAGGTTTCTGTAATGCGTTGATGACCTCTTGCTACCACAGGTGATCAAGGAGCTGATTAAAGAAGGCGTTATGCTGGACTTCACACTTAAAACAAGGAAGAATTGGTTCGGACATGAAGACTGGAGGCAACCTTAGCTGTAGTCACCATGGGATAGAGGCATTCAGGATTGTTAGAAGGAACAAGGCAAAAATCAGGATCACAGCTGTGGATGGGTTAACCCTATTATGAACGGGGAAGTTAAGCTAGAGAATTCTGTCAGTGACCTTAATTTGTCACAAGTGGCTGCCCAGGTTAAAAGTGTATATGCCTGCTCTCTCTGCTTTTGTTCTGCAGTTTGTTTATGCTGGTTGTAGTGTTCTTTGTAACTGCTTGGGGAGGTCTGCTTGGGGACTTCATCCATTTAGTTTTAATCCATCAAAGGACGCAGCTAAACATACCGGTGTCCAATATAGCAGAGGTAGTATAGTGGCTTGCTTCCTCCAGAAGGGCAGTGCCCCTTCCTCTGGTCCTCAACATCTGCTGCTCACCCTGTACTGACTCTGGTAGATCCACTGCATAAGCTGACTCAGTACGTTAAGCTGGCGGAAAGCTAACCTAGCAAAAAGCAGAGTTCTCTGCTGGGCTAACGAGTTGAATTAGCTTAGTGAGGCTGTAATGGAGGGTAGGTTAATAGTCCCTCTGCTCTTTCCCCTGCTGTTCTAGCCTTTTTATGTACCCTCTCTGTAAGTGGGGTGCTGCCTTAAGGGTGTAATTTATTGTTACTTTAATGCAGCGAGAGTGAAAAAATACTAACCAGGAGTCTGTCCAGAGCACGAGGTCTGTGGGTTTTGGATCTTCCCTGTCGCAAGGACAATTGTGGAGAGAAAGAGAGTGAGTTGGCTGATAAATTTTTTTCTTTTTGTTTTTCTTTAGATGAGAAGCATCTCATCTGAAGAGGTGGAGGAAATGTCCTCAGTATACCTTTAATCTGACTTGATATTTGTTTTAAGGATAAAGCTTTAACATTCTTATCTGTAGAAGGAATTTCATCAGAATGAATCTCTCATATTTTTTTTTTCCTCACCTTTTCCACCCAGCATTACTAAGGAGGAAAGCTTTTTCATAGTTGCTGTTCAGTTTGGGTAATATTGAGTAATAATCTTAGGCAGATTAAACCAAATGCATTTAACATACCTTTGATAAAAGCTTGATGCAGTAACATCTATTATTATATCTCTATACAGTAGGTAGAGCTTCTAATTTTGGATGTTAGACTTCTATTTTTCAATTTTACAATAGCCTGCTTAGCATAATTAACAGAGCAGTGACAAATGACAGTGAAGAAACTAGATAATTCTGGCAGTGCTCATTTTAATTTTGTCTTAGTGTTCTGTGTTGTTGTCTAGTTTGGGGAGAGGAGAGGTGTGGCAAGGAATAGCCTTCTGCATCTAGGCTTTAGAGACCAGCATTAGAGAGGTTTGATCTTGTGCCATTGTAGCATGGCTGCAGGCATAAAATGTGCATACAGAAAATTGCTGTACTATCACATAGGCCAGGTGAGATTGACTTCAGAACAAGATAAAATGGCATTTTTGTAGCAATAATGTTCCTTTAGAAGACAAGCAAATCTGCACCTATAAAAGGAAAGATGAATTGCTTCACTACACAGTGTTTTTTCCTTGAATAGTCAGTGTCTAGGAAACCATGTTAGTCAAGATAGACGGGTCTAACAATTCAAATGCTCTCTGTACTAAGGAACTGAAGTGGCAAAATCCATTGTGCATGTTACTAATCCATTTGAAGTGTGTGCTAGTAGTCAAGTTCCTCATGATAAAATAATGCTTGTTGCTGAACATCCAGCATTCTGTAAGCATATTTTCTAGGAGACACATTCAGAAAAACCAGAATTAAGTGTTGTCTGTATCAATGTAATTTAGAAGTGAATAAGCAGTTATAGATAAGGTACACTTCCTGAAAGCGATATTATCTCTGAGTGGTTTTCTTTATGGATGTAGTGAAATATTTGTTAGTACTTAACTGGCAAACCCTACAGTTTAGCAGATGTTTGTAACAGTTGTTTTCAAGGGGAGACAAAACAATCCCTCTCTTCTTCAGGAAGCTATTAGTGTTTAAAACTGAACACAGAAAACAACAATGGAGAAAACAGGCCAATGACTGTGTATGTCTAGGTAAGAATGCTCTTTCAAGCTGGACAGAACCAGAGGACAAAGCTACTGGGGGGAAAAAAGGACCATTTTGTTAATCTCTTCTAGTGAAACCCAAAAGGTAGTGGTGACAGAAAGCACTGGAAATCATTGAGAATGGAGACAAAAATTTCAGACCTCTGATCTAGGGAAGAAGGTTATCACCCTTGCTACAGAGCCCAACCCACAAAGCTATTGCTTACCTGGTGGTGACTTAATTAGAAGATGAAAAATTCTCAGTCTGGTTTCTCCAGGGTATATCACTGCAAATGAATTTACCCATTTTTATTATTCTGTTCTGTATGTGCTGGTCACACAGCAGTAGAGAAGCCTTAGGGAGAGATTCAAATGTTGAAATTTTTTTGGTGCTATGGGCAAGATGGAATTATCAACAGCAGGACAAATATTGCAGAATCATAATCTCTCAGTAGATATTGAGACAAGTAATATGGAACCCACTATGTTGCACTGCTCTGAAGTTTATTTAAAGCTTTTTTGAAAGGCCTTCCTTATGTGAGCTATGTATGCAGAGCTGTTTTTCTAAACCTGTCTTAAGTTGTTTGAAGATCTTGTACATAGCTGAGCTTCTCAAAGTTCAGAGCAGAATTGTCTCGGTGTGGGTAGGGGAAGACTTCATTTTATATTGAACATCAGTAGACACTGAATAAATATTTGTACCTGAATGCTAACCAATTATTAAAGAAAGCTGGTATCAACAATTTATAGGCGTAAAGTTTAACTTCTCTTGAAATTAACTCTGTTGTGTAAATTGCATCTGGATCAAACAACACTGCTTATTTTGACACTAAACTTGGACATTTGGTGTTGTCTTTCATTCCTATGAAACAGATGACTGCCTGACTCCAACAAAGTAGATTTAACCAAAGCAGACCAAATCCTATTATTTGTAGGCAGATTTCTTGAGTATAAGATAAATATCTGAATTCCTGGCAAGTTCCATTCTGTTCGGAATGTTCTGTCCAGATTTTTATTTAGAGTTATTTAGTAAGTGTATGAAATGTCAGTTTCCTGGTTTACGAATTTACAGTAGCAAGTGAAGAATACCAGGGGAGAAAGAACTAAAAATTGAGAGATGTACGTATTCAACAAATACCCATACTTTCACTAATAATGAATCATACTTGAAACATTTTCATCTTGAACATTCCTTACAAACTAGGGCTTACTTTCAGAAGTAGCAAGCTGATCTGTACAGGTTACCAACATACTCAGGATCCCTTACTAATTAAACTGTCAAAACTAAATATAGTAACCTGTAAATATGTGCCTTGCATATTACTGTGAAATGTTTAAAACTGAAACTGCTGTTAATTGATGTTTATACAATGAAGAAACAAGCTATGCAGTGATATATTTTCCACTTTTGGGTCATCACGCTGATCAGGTTTTTTTAATCAGGTCTCAAGTCAGCTCTAGTTGTTAAGACAAACTGTCCCTAATAATGAACTTTATTTTTATAAATGCCTATAATATTTTTATTGTAGGTAAGCAAGTGAGAACCAAACTGTCACAGGCCTTTAATCACTGGCTGAATGTTCCGGAAGATAAAATACAGGTACTGGCTAATTATTTTTAAAAGGTTGTTATTTTTCTTCCAAGATTACTGATAACAGATGATTCTAATAGTTAGTGTAAATTGTAAGAAGTCTTAAATGCACTATTTTCTGAGTATAAAGTAAGCTTTCAGGAAATCAACTCTAGTACAAGGCTTTTAGTATGATGCAACACTGAAGAAATCACTTGTGTGATAGTTACTTCTTTCTAAGTGTGTTCAATCTTTGAAGTTGTAGATAAGCAGGTATCACTGTTACCCACTTAACTCAGTTACTAACACTGAGGTTTTTAATGACTTAAGAAAGAAGCTAGACAGTTATCTTGTAAATGTAGTGGTTGAAAATAAAATCTTGAGATTTTGATTCAAGAATATCAAAGACAGCAGTTAAATCAACTTTACAAACCCCAAACTGTGAGGGGTATATCATACAGTCTCCAGTCCTTACTTTCTAATGAGAAGCATTAAACTCGGAATTCTTGTTCCCTTTTACTTTCCTGTTGGGCAAATGGTGCAAGCTGCATGGTTGTGTATTTAAACACCGTGGCTTGTCAAATGAAAAATTATCCTCTGTGTTAGGTTAGACTGCAGTTTTGCTAAACTGCATATAGAGAGTGCAAAATATTCTGTCCAAGACAATGTAAGGAATTAAAATAATCAGTTGTGGTTTTTGACCCTTACCCAGCTGGTCCCTTGTTAGTGTCATTAATGGTTGGCAGAAGTACCTTTAGAGTTTATGAAGGAGTCATTTTTAGAGTGGCTTAAGAGTGACACTTCATAGCCCTCAAGTAGCAAAGTGGTTTAAGAGTCTGCATTCATAATCTAGCAATTCTTCTATTTTTCAATCTGTCTGTATAACTCTTTAGCCAAATTTATTCTGTCTTTCAGCTAGACATGTCTTACCCTTTGTGCTCAGATATATATCCAAATAAAACATAGCAACCTGTGTATTGTATGTGTTGATTTAGTCTAATATCATAGATCAGAATTCAAATTGAAAGGAGCCTCTGGAATTTACCTAGGACAACCCTCTTCTTAAAGCAGGGCTTGCTCTGTGTCTACTTTAGGCTTCTGGGAGCCTTGTTGAGTTTGCAAATCTGATGTAGTTTCTTCAGATTCCCAGGGTGAGTCTTCTCATGCTGAACTCCTTCCGTTATAACAAACCCTTCCATTCTGTTCAACTAGGACTTTTTATGTTACAGTCTGACGATTACCTCTTGCCCTTTTGCTGAGCACTCATGACAGTGTGGTCCATTTTTGCTTTGTGATACAGTAAACTAAAGCTGCAGTGCCTCTGTATGAGCAGAAGTTACCAGTTCTGTTAGTTTAAACTGATGCTCACGTAACTATTATTGAGAAGTTGGACCACTTGTTTTGATTATCTTTATGAAGAAAACCAGTGCTTTAATGTTTCCTTTACCACTTAAGTTGTTTGTGATGGCACTTAGTAATTTTATTCTTCAGGGCCTTTGAGGACAAAACCAAGGCCCTGTCATCTTTTAATCTGCATCCTGACCCATTTATTACAGCTTTTGTGCATTCTTGTACTAATTTTGATAATTAATGATGGTTGAGGTCTAGAGGACCACCTCTGGTCATCTTTTTGACATCTCTCATAATCTTCTTAAGGTGTCCCCTGTGTCTAACAGCCTGCTTCCCTTCCAGCTATTTGTATTTCTTTTATTAGAAATCTGAATTCTGGCATTTATTCTGGGACTTCTTTTTTTTTTTACCTTAGATTATTTGTCTTTATGTAGTTTATTCAGATGATACAGTTGAGGCTACTGTTCCTTGGCAGTTTATTTTACCATTGACTGCCACCATTTCACTTTTTTCCCCAGCCAGGTGGTCTCCTCACCCCCACCACTCACTGAATTTCTTGTAGCAATCTGGTGCTGCACTGAGAGACTCCAGCTTGTTGAATTAGAGAACACTGGGTTTGTCAGAGGAACTTTCTCCTAAGGAAGCGCTGAAATGGCCTAGTACAGGGTCAACCAAGTTTTAGAGCTATTGCAGATAAGGAGTTGAAGAAATCTGTGTGTTGAACTAATAGTGCAGCAGGTACTGATTAGATAGTTTAGACTGTAAGAAAACAACACTGTACTGGGTCTTCAGATGTCATTATGAAGAGCAGTCTTTTCATTTTCTTGAGCTGCTTCCTGATGTCTTATAAAATAAGCTTTTTCTGCTATATGAGCTATTTCACTCCTTACTTTCACCTTTGAAGCATTTTTGACACTGTCTTAAGTTCACTAGATAACTTGATTCAAACACAGTCATGAAGCACCATTTCCATTAAATCTGAAATGTATAGAAACTGCAAGGGATCATTAAACTGACAGTGATATGAAATAGGTTAGCAAGAGAAACGCTGGAATAAGCTTATCCAAGGAATTCATAAAACACATAGAACGTTTCCTGATAATACTGAGAATGAGATAGTGGACCAAAAGAATATTCAAACAAATAGGTATATGGAATTGCCTTCAATAAGTGCTCTATCCTTTGATTTTTAAGTCAGTGGTCAACAATGTATCTTGACAGGTCCAAGTAGGGCTTACTTCTTGCTGGTCAGTGAGTCATGAGGGTTAAGTATGTTGTTCTGGCAGTCATATCTTCGAAAAGCAGTTAAATTCCTGGGGTTTAGGTTTTAATCTTTAGGACATTGGTCACTGAACATCAGGTGGCTTGCTGCCCAAAAAAATGCTTACAGCAAGTCCTTATTGTTTTGTCCTACAGGACCCACCAAATAGGACCATACTAGGTACTTGCTACTATTTTATGATGACCTTAGTATTTTTTAGCAGTTGTTTTGATGAATGTTGACTGAGTGCAATGTTTGTAGCTAGCAAGTGTAATTGGTTCATTAGCTTTAAAATCATATCTTAATGAGATGTGTTTTGCAGTGAGTTTATACAGTATGCAGTTTTATGTGCTTAAATTTATTTGTATTTAAGCAGGTGCTGAATATACCTGTTGATTGCATAACAGCTGTGCAATAAAAGCAGTGTATAGTGTTAAGACTTTTCATTTTTTGTTAAGATGTTAAGATTCACTTCTAGTCAACTACAAACCTGATGTTCTGAAGAGTTTGTTGCACACGTCAGGTGGTGTATGATATTGTCTACCTAGTAACAAGTAGTAAGTGTGTAGGAAGCTTCCCAAAAGATATCGTAGCTGTTGTCTTCCTGCCAAGAATTTTCCAAATGATGTTTCAGAGAGAATAGTCTGTCCTTTAAGAGCTCAGTACTGAAGATAACCACACAAAGTGTGGGAAAAGAAAGATGAACTCTCTCTGCTTATCAAAACAAGGTTTATGAGACAAATGGGATAATGGATGATACCTGACACTCTCAAGAACTGACCTGGAGAGATTTGAGGTTAGTGAATCTAAATGTTTGAAAACACTGTTTATTTTCTTTTCCCCTAATCATGTTTCTGCTAACAGACTTCTAGACAATGACTGTTTTAGAACTGTAGCAACAATGAAGAGAGGCATGCAAATGGAAGCACTTCAGGGAGTAAGTTCACTTTGAATTTGAAAACAGTATACAAAAGACAGACCACATGATCTAGGACTTAGAGCAAACTGGCTGATGGAGAAAATCATAAATCTGTACTAATAGTAAAAGCAAGTGGTCTAAAGGGGAACCTCAGGGATAGAGAACATATTTCTTTAAAACATTATCAATTTTAAATAAGGTCTTGCAAAATGGGGCATTAAATTACAATGTCAGACTTAATAATTTTCTCTTCTTATAATAGGTTATCATTGAAGTGACAGAGATGTTGCACAATGCAAGCCTACTTGTGGATGATATTGAAGATAACTCAAAGCTACGACGGGGCTTTCCAGTGGCACACAGTATCTATGGAATTCCATCTGTAATCAACTGTGCTAATTATGTGTATTTTCTTGGCTTAGAGAAGGTTTTAACCCTCGATCATCCAGATGCTGTTAAAGTTTTTACCCGCCAACTTTTGGAACTCCATAAAGGTCAAGGCTTGGATATTTACTGGAGGGATACTTACACCTGTCCTACGGAGGCTGAATATAAAGCTATGGTACTGCAAAAGACAGGTGGTCTCTTCGGATTAGCTGTAGGCCTCATGCAGCTGTTCTCAAATTATAAAAAAGACTTAAAGCCACTTCTTAACACACTTGGTCTCTTCTTCCAAATAAGAGATGATTATGCCAACTTGCACTCCAAAGAATATAGTGAGAACAAGAGTTTTTGTGAAGACTTAACTGAGGGCAAGTTCTCATTCCCAACCATTCATGCAATTTGGTCAAGACCTGAAAGTACTCAGGTGCAAAACATTTTACGTCAAAGGACAGAGAACATAGATATAAAAAAATACTGTGTGCATTACCTGGAAAATGTTGGTTCCTTTGAGTACACTCGGAATACATTGAAAGAGCTTGAATCTGAAGCCTATAAACAAATTGAATCACTTGGGGGAAACCCTGAGCTTGTAGCACTAGTTGAACAGCTGAGCAAAATGTTCAAAGAAACTGAAAATTAAAAATGTAACTTCTGGGTGTGGGTGAAAACTCTTTTTAAAATGGGAAGATAACCAGACTGAGAGATGTGATAATCAGTCTCATGTAAAACTTTCTCTTGTAGCTATGTTAGCAGAAATTACTGTTAAGAACAACTTGTCACTGAGTATTGAAATATATACCCTATTATCTCTAAAGTCTTAACTGTAACTGCTTACAGTCTGCTTTGCTAAAGCAGATGTACTAGAACTGAAACAAGTTTTGAATCTAAATGTGTTCATGTTTACACAATCATAGGCATTATTTCATACCTAAAACTCTTGTGTCTCTAACCAGGCTATCATAGGCTTCTGGTTGAAATTCTGTGTTTAAATCATATTGACATATGTGTATTGTGCATTTTCAAACGATGCTCTGGTAAACCAAATTGTATGTTAAATAACAGAAGAAGATAGTTGCAACCACAATGGATATAAAACCATTGTATGATATTTCTAAGTTAGACTCGTGAAGATCAGATGGATCAGCTTACTAAGTTCTAAGGTGAATATCCTAGCCAGCTTCTGGGGATATTTTCAGGGGAATGTGAATTATGAAAGATAGCATTTTATATGCAAATAAGACATGTTTAGTCTGAAATTGTGACTTTGTAAAGATTTTGAAGTACCCTAGAGAAAAAACTCCATCACATCAGCAAAGTGAAAATTCACAGCTGATTCCAGCTTTTCAGTGAATAATTTTGATCACCTGGTTTTAGATTTTGAAACTGTCAAACATTTTGTAGCCAGGAACTTAAATCTATGCATTAGAGCCCATACATTTAACTGTAAATAGCAACACAGTAAGTTGCTACTACAAATGGAAAGGGCTTCACATCAGGTAACTTTAGGACACTGTAATTGGTGTAGGTCTCTTTAATAATTGCTCATAATTGAGGTGCTTCTCCCAGAGTTTATTCATAATTCATATTTCATTCCTGTTCTGAATTGCTGTCTGGAGGCATGTTATAGATCTCTCCAAAGATACAAGATCTGTAATTTTTTGCTATAGCAGGGTACAGTATCTTGTTCTAGGAGCTACACTACCACTTCGGTTTTGTTAATTGCTTAAATAAAGCTTTAAAACTATAGACAAACCAAAATAGAACTGGGACTGAAAGTAAGATTGAGGGGTAGGACTGATAAGTGACTGCTCACCTCTCTATATATAAATAAATGTATATAAAGAAAAAAGTGAAGAAAGTGTAAGCAGAGATGTTTGGGTTTTTTTCTTGGCTGGGCTGGCTTTAATCAGGTTCAGTTCCCTTTGTCTTCACAGCTAAATAAAGCTTTGCTTTGGGGTAGGAAGGTAATGGTTTGGATCAAAGGTAGGGCTGGTGCTGTAAGCTGTGGTGTTAGCTCAAGCGTACTCTGAAATGGCCAGAGTTACTTGGCTTTGAAAGGCTAAAGGATAATTTTATGCAGGTGTTCATTTACTGTACCTGGAAAGCAGGGAGAGCCATGATCTCAACCCACTGAGAAAACTAACTGAAGAAGGTTGCTGTAATGTCTTCCCTGGGCAGCCTTAATATTCTTCTGAAAGTGATCAAACAAAATTCAGAATGACTGCTTTCAGTCAGAGATATTATGTAGTTACGGATGACAGCTTCTCCCTTTTATCTGCATGCTGGGGAGGAATCTTTGACTGATTAGGCATAGAATAATAGCCTTTTCACTGAATGGACCTGGTTGCCAGGACTGAATAGCTTCAAGTTGGTGAAAGGTATTTTTAATGTTAATGAAAGAGAATTGTAATTCCTCTTTCATAACTTGCAGTGCTTAGAAGCCTTTTAATTTTTAATGTGTTATGAGAAAATACTATCTGCAGCAAGTTACATTTATTTTGTGCCATGTCTTGGGAGTTTCTAAGCACTGTTGCAGCTGATGTTGAATAGGGGAGAGCACTGAAAAGACTGCTGTTGTCAGGAGAATCTCCTAGTCTTACTGTGAAAGGTATCCTTGTGTCTGTTAGGATATTGTAACTGCAACACAGTGCAAAGTGTACTTAGTGCTATTTTGTGTCTGTTCAGTTGCTGAATGTAAACGGTTTTGTGTAATCAAACTTTCATAATGAGATAGCCTTTCTTATTTTTTGTATAAAACTTCTTTACCATCTGAGATTTCTGCTATGTCATTGCTCTTTTGGTTCGGTTCATTCTAGGAATTCACCCCAGTATTTAGTCTACTCTACCGTATCTTGTAGAGTGTGCCTTCATTAATGTAGGAGTAAGTACACTGATGTTTTCCAGCTGCAGGCCATTTAAACTACAAATGAGTAAGAAGGGAAAAGTTGGTCCAGCTTTCTTTTCCCAGTGTACAAAGAAACCATACAGCTCTGTCTTACTCTTCTGCCTTCAAGGCTTTTGATACCAGTATTCAAAGCATACCCTGAAGGTATATCTGAAAAGACCCAGAAGCAGAGTTGTTGTTCTTCACTTTGGTTAAGATAAACAGGACTATGAGGGTTTTTCTTGATGTATTCAGGAGTTGGAAGAGACTGGGATGTTTCCCCTTCATCTGTTAAGCTGGTAGAACATCTCTTAAGTATTAAATGTCAGTAGTGATGATGTTCCTTAGTCAAGGTAGATCTTATATTTGATGCCGTAAGATGCGATTGTGCATTCTCATCAATATTCTCCAATGTTCCCGCTGGTTCAGGCTGCTGAGGTTAAGCAATGTTAGGAAAATCACTTCTTTAAAGCAGCGTGGGAGTTCTTGTGGCTGCAGAATTAGTTTAGTTGTATGAGTGCCACTCACTGTTGCTATACCTCCCACAACACAGGGAGTGGGTTTTTTTCCTGATCTTTGCAAGGTACGCATTGCTGTGGAACAGAAACCTGAGTTGCAAGTAGAGAAATTTTGCCATGGGGAAACAAAGAGGATGCTGGTTTCAATGTTAGTCGCTTTGAGCCAGAATTGTTCCCCTTATTATCTTTGTACCATTGCTAACAAGTTCAGGTTTGGTCAGGTTATCATGGCATTTCTTGGGGTTTGGCTCCTGCGGCGCATATAAAGAGAAATGCAAATACTCATCAGTCTGCAACATTTCCCCCTACCTCAGTCTGTTTTATTGTATGGATGTAAATGAATGCTGTCACCTGTCTTTGAGTAGCCAGCCATTGGATGGGACATCTGGTTTTGCTTTTTCAAAGGCTGATGTTCTCCCTATCAATTATAATGAAAATGGCATTATTTCAAGACCTTCCGGAGGACGTAGCTTGTTTTTCTCCTCTCTGAACTTGGACTGTACTCAGTACTCAGTTACTAAGAGCAACTTTGTATGTATCAGCCAGTTGTTGATACAAACAGCCTGAAAATGTTAATAGCAGTGGGAAAGAAACTGTTGCCACTTCTCTGTGTTTCAACTAAAGTTAATTTTGCTAATTTGCCTGCATGTGCTATGGAGTTTTCCTGTATTAATGAGTGCTTTCCTCAATTATTGTTAAAATGCCAGCATGCTATAAAAACATGGGATCTGTGGAGTTTGAACTTTAATATGACTTTATCACTGAATTGGCCCAGGATTTTATTCATGTGCAAGAGCATCTTTTACTCTTCTTTGACCTGTCTTAATTGTTTTACATTTCAGGTTTGATATTTACTATATTCTTTTTATTATTTGCTCAGTACTTTTGCTGTAATTCTTCTTTCAGTTATATTTCTATTCTCTGCTAATACCACAGCATACATAATACCATCAAACTCATTTTTGATCCTGGTCAAACAGAATAGTCTGAGTCTGCTTTTGCAGCAGTAAATCTTGGTTCATTGTATGCCTTCACAAAAGTAATCAAAGATTTTCTACAATCCTGAAATGCCTGAAACTTTTTTTTTCCAGGAAGCTAGAGCCTGTAACATTTTATATTGCCATAAATTATTTTTGTCCCGTGTAGCTTGAGCTACTTTCCCTCTCCTACCCATTTGCTTTCAAGACCTATTTTGCTTTGGTGCTAATGCCTGTTAGGTCTTTTTATGAAAAAAGTTAACTCCCTAGCCCTGGGGAAGAGAAGTTAATTTTTGTCTGGGTTAATGAATTATCCCACTCAGCAAGAGTCTTATGAATGTCAGAGCTGGCAGGTAGACAGAGGCCAGGGAAAGTATCTGAAAGAATAAGAAAACCCATTTCAGTCTCCCGAGGCTGCCTCATGTAATTTTACCTCATTTTACAGCATTTACTTGACTTTGTTAGGAAAGGCAAAAGAGTGTGGTTAGTGTCTTTGAGCTTCCCTTCTTGCTTTGCAAATAGACTGCGAGAGATATTCAAGTTAAAAATTATTTATTCTGATAGTTATTTATTTAATTTGACTATATCATCTAAAGGTTTTGATTAAAGCTACAGACTAAACAGAGTACATTGTTTCATTGTTGTATTTTTCTTTCTCTTAATAACTTTTCTGTTCTTGAAGTCAGGGAAACATAATCTGCCATGTGTATTTGACTTGTTTGCTACCTCACATTAACATCCTTCCTGAATAACCTTTACCATTGGTGAGCATCAGTGTTCACTGTTTCTGTGGCATTTTTTAAAATTACTTTAGAAGGCACCTTGTGAGGTGTGGCTACGAGTAATCCATGATTCATTAATTCAATTCAAGCATATTATCTGCAAAACTTAATAATAAAGATTCAGGTTAAACCACAATAATCCTGATAGTTTTCTTCATCTCTCTACTCTGTGAAACAAGTGAGTTCTCCATAAGCTCATTCAAAAAGTATTTTCTGATCATGTGGGTTTAGTACAGCAAAAGAACTATGGGGGATACCCAAAGAAGACCTAACGTGACACTTCCAGGGAAGGCACTACAAAACCTGATGTGAATTTGCATAGAAGATTAACTCCGATGTGAAGGGAAATCATGGATAACTTTCTGCTTTTGAACTCCATGAAAATGCTCTCCACTCTATTGGTATATTAATTGTGTGCTGACAATAAGGAGTTGCATCATCTCTTGACCACAGTAGGTAATTTTCACTCTCTTCATAATGTTTCAGTTGATATTTCTAAAGCATATAGTGTGAAGTTACTTAATCACTCAGAAAAGTAATTACTGAAGTCTGTAAAAAAGGAAAAATGCCAAATGCATACATTTTGTTTATGTATTTTGAAACACATAAAAACTGGCCTGTTCTCTTGCAATCTACTATGTTACTCTGCAGTAAACTGCTAGCTGAGGGAGGCATAACTTTTCACCGACTGAAGTTATTAAAACCAGGCTGACACCAAACCTCTATGAACAAATTGGATGGGGGGAAAAAAGGGTTGGCAAGGAAAAGTTCTTTAAAAATAGAATTTCTGTTAATTGCAGAGTTAGTACATAAAGCATGGAACTAACTCCAACAATTTTTCTATGGCCTTAACTGAAGGATCTGTAGCTAACTGTTTTCTTCTGTTTGGGGGTGGGATGGAATGTGCGAGTCAAAGTAAAAGCCTTAAGGAGGAATTGTCATTGCTTTTCCCAAAAATATAAAAACTATGCTATAAACCTAATCTCTTATATTTTACACCAACCAACATGTATGTTCAATAAATCTATAAGGTAAATCCATTTCTACTTAGGTGCTTATAAAATGCAGAAGTTGCAATTCTAGCTAACAAGGTGAAAATGTTAAATTGGTCTAGTTGTTTCATTGGTGTTGGGACTACCCTGTTCCTTGTCAAGTGCAGAGGATGAACTATAGCTGTTTGTTGATAACAGCACAAAGTGAGGCATGCTCTCAGCTTTGTCCTCAGAAACAGTGGATGAGTCAGAAAAGGAGAGTGAGAGGGGCTTAGTGCTGTTGTTCCTGCTATCACATTTGTACCGCTATCTATGTAGCTTCAGCATCATTTTAAGTTGGAACAGATCGTTCCAAGGGTGCCCTCTGTGGGAGATGAGTGGGCTTAGGAACCCAGATGAGACACCACCACCACCACTAAAGATGTGAAAGAAGGACTAGGGTGTCTGTTTTTTCCCCGAAGCTATTAGTTGTCCTGAAGTAACATATTACCTATGGCAAAGGAGGACTCCGAGCTAAAGGCACAGAGATCTTTGCTGGATTGTCCCTTTGGGGAGCAGCTGCTTTATGTGAAACAGTAAAGCATGCTCTTGAAGCCTATTACTTGAAGATGCAACCTCTGGGAATGCTAAAGAATTTACACATTATCCAGATTATTTTGATAGGAATGTCCTAGTGTTACCAAATACCTGTACTTGATGTCTGTAGTCAGTCACTATCACAAAGTCAGAGTAAAGAGCACAAATATACTGCCTCCCACATTTAATGTAATAGAAGCAGAGGCACGGGATTGAAAGGCTTTCTTGATTACTTGCTGTCATGGTTGTTCCAGTCTTGGTGGTCCCAAAATTCAAATCATATTGTTTGAATGCGACATTAAAGTCTGAAACACAGGAGAGATGAACAAATGTGAAAAACATGAACTAGAATACTTCTAGTTTTATAACCACAAACTTGTGAGAAAGCTATTAGGTCTTCTTGTACCTATCTCTGTCAAACCGAGGAGCTCTTGCTAAACTTCTGTTCCCCAGCGACTGGTACTAGAACACAGGTGTTAATCTACACACAGTGGGCACCTCGATTTTTTTTTTTTTTTTATAAGCTGCGTTCCCTGATTGTTACAGCTCCTCCCTGGATCTTCTCTGGGGATATTTTTTTCAAATAGCGGATGTTGGAATAAATGCAGCAACAAATGTAGCAGCGCCCAATACCGAGGGAATACAGCTGCTCGGGAGTTCCCCATGGCAGGTGCTGCTGCCGCTCACCTCCTCCTCAATCGCTGCTTCCCGGGAGAGGGCCCCAGGCTCGGAGCAATCTCTCCCTCGGTATCGGTTCACTGGCGCTGCAGGGCTTTGCCCACCGCGCGCTGCTTTACAACACGGCGGCGCTTCCTTGGGGGAATTTCTCTTCCTCTTCACCGCCCACCGCAAGTCTGCGGCCACCCTCCGGCTGGGCCGGCGGCATCCACCGGCGGCGGCCTCTCCTCCCGGCACCGCCCAGTCACGGCTCCTGCAGCATTCTGGGAACTGTAGTCCAGGGACAGCAAACCCGCGCGGCGGGGCCGCCCTGACGAACTGCGTTACCCAGGAAGCTCCGCGGCGGCCACGCCCTGCTGCTGTTTGCCCCTGAAGGCGTTGACTCGAGAGAGGCAGAAGGCGGGGATGGGCCAATAGCGGGCCGAGGTAGGGCGACCCTGTGGGCTCGGGGCCAATGGGAGCGCACCAGTAGCCCGGGAGGGGCGGAGTGGCTGTTGCCGGGCGGCTCCGGGCGGAAGTGGGGCAGCCGGGCGGAGCGGGCGTGTGTGCGGGTCGGCCCGGGCTGCGCCTCCTGCCCGTGCGTGAGCTGCGCCCCGAGCCTCGGGGCCCGTGGGCTGGGAGCGGCACCAAAGAGGCTGCTCCGGGATGGGGGAATGGAACGGCGTGGGATGTGGGAGCGGTAGCGCCGGGAGGGAGAAGAGCAGCTCAGGGTACGGGGCTTTGTAAAGCAGCGACTTGCGCGTGTGTAAAGGGCGTCGCTTCTGTCCCTGCAGGTCTGCGAGAACCCGGACTCCAGGTATCCCGAGATGACCGCCTGGGTGCCTCCCGATGCGCTGGGTCGGAGGGTCTCGTGTGGCACCGACTACGGGACTGTGCGCTATATGGGCAACGTGGCTCGTACATCAGGTAAAGGTCACAAAAGCAACTAATCTTTACATCTAATGGCTGTTCTCAAAGTTCTGTTTATGTACTTCTTTTAAAACCATTGTCAAGCAGAATGAAAACGCTGTCAAGTAGAATGTTGCCTTTTCCTCGTTGTTCTTGTGTAAATATGGCAACTTCTGGATAAGTTGCTGGGGTTTTTTTAGAAGTTAGAGTTGTCAAAAGGAGTGTAAGAAGCACTTTAGGCTGAGGCTGGTTATGTTTTTTTCTTACAGCAGAAAGGTCTCAGTGCCTTCTTTTTTCCATTAGTTTTCACAAACAGTGCTGGCATAGTCAGGGAAGGTGAGAGAGAGGCAGGAGCAGATCAACAGATGGGGGTCCTCCTTTGATAACATATTGTTTTGGGTTTGTAGGACAAGGCTTTGATGGAGGGGGGACTACAGGAGTGGTTTCTGTGAGAAGCTGCTGGAAGCTTCCTCCATGTCCAACAGAGCTAATGCCAGCCAGCTCCAAGATGGACCTCCTTCTGGCCAAGGCCAAGCCGATCAACAGTGGTAGTAACACCTCTGAGATAACATGTTTAAGAAGGGAAAGGAAAAAACTGTCATTGTGCAGCAATAATTATGGCCAGAGAAGAGAGGAGTGTGAATATGTGAGAGGAACAACTATGCAGACACCAAGAGCAGTGAAGAAAGAGGGGGAGAAGGTGCTCCAAACTCAGCCAGAGCTGAGATTCTCCTGCAGCCCATGGAGGTCAACAGGGGTGCAGAGATCCCCCTGCAGCCCATGGAGGAGATGCATGCTGGAGCAGGTGGATGCCTGAAAGAAAGTGGTGACCTCACGGGAAGTCCATGTGGGAGCAGGTTCCTGGCAGGACATGTGGACCCATGAAGAGAAGAGCCAACACTGAAACAGGTTTCCTAATAGGAAGTGTGACCCTATGGGGTACCGATGCTGGAGCAGCCTGTTCCTGAAGGACTGCACCCCATGAAAAAAGGGTTCCACACTGGGGCAGTTCACGAGGAACAGTACTGTAGCCTGTGGGAAGGACTCATATTGGGGAAGTTTGTGGAGTACTGGCTGCCATGGGAGGGACTCCACGTTGGAGCAGGGAAAGGACTCCTCTCCCTGAGGAGGAAGCAGTGGCAGAAACGACCCATGATGAGCTGGCTATAACCTCTGTTCCCTGTCTCCCTGCACTGCTGAGGGGA